AAAAAAAAATCCGTAGACTACATATTCTGGTTTTTCAAATATCTCCAGTACACACATGACAGAAACTCTAGTATAATCCTGCAAGAAGTGTGGTTACAACTATACTAGTGAGTTGTAAGTATCATATTGTCTCAACATCTAATGCATAATAAAATGAAGGGAATGTAAAACAGTTTGTTCCAAAAAGATGAGAAATTAAAGAATATCCATGAGGATTTTACTTTTAAGGCAATAACCTTTTTTATGCAAGACTACGTGGCATCAGAATATTAAAATTTGCTTCACCAACACGCCAGCCGATGTTAATGAAAACATCTGTCCCATACTTTCAACAGTAACTGCGGACAGCATCTTACACTCTAACATGGAAGGAAAAGACCACGCTGGCACTCTTTTCCTTTTGCAAACCATTTCATTCAGTCCGGCTCACCAACTATCGTGGGGCGGGCACTACTGCGCAAACTGGGCTGTTAGGAAGAGTCTATATAAACCTAGGGACTGTTTTAGGTTTAAGCTCCCTGGCCTTCTAACACTAAGCAATGCAGACCAAAATTAAACTAAAAAAAAAATAAAATAAAGAAAATACACAACAACAAAAAAAAAACCTGTCCATAATTATTCTGAACACTTGCTAAATGTCACCATTAAAGCACTCTTGTGATTTAAAGAAAGCACAAGTGAGGAAGGAACACAAGATTGTGTTTGCGCAAAAAACTAAAACTACAATTAGTTCCAAAAAATTTATACATATGTTAAATGTTTTATTCTGTTATCTATCTTGTTATCAAACAAACTTTAAATTCTGTCTTCAATTCATTCTGCTCAATGTCGACTGTAAAAATCATCCTTTGTAATTTAAATACTTTCCCCTTAATTCTGCTGTTTGTTTTTTTCAGTTTCAGAAGGGGCTTCAGCTGTTGGGGACCTGAGGTTGATTAGCTTTGAGGCTTCGTAGGGCTCTTCTGGCGGCGGCAGATTTGGCAATCCTGTAACTCCGGCCAACACCTTTAAACTTCCCCTTTCCTACGACTTCCACCGTGACTCTGACCTTCCCATCGTACGTTCTCTCCGCCGGGCTGTAAAAAATCCACACAGCTTCAATTAGGAGTCAGAAGTATTTATTATTATTGTCAATCAGCAGTCAGTAGGCATTCTCGGGCCGAGAGTCCCACGTACGAGCTGACAACACACGAAGGAAACGTGCCTTATGACTTAGCGCACGCCACCAACGGACAGGGCTGCCGTTTCTTCTGCCAATTCAGCCCTACTTTATAAAAACAAAAAAGAAAATGAAAAATCTATCAGACTACAAATGGAAATCTGAATAAGAGCATGAAGCAGTGTAAATATTTTTCAGAATCCTTAATCTGTGGAATCTTGGAGAACTCTTCACCCTTCATTCTTAGTGAGTTAAGTTTTTTTTCCATGCACCTTTCGCCTTACCTAAATTTGGCCGTTTCTGGTTCCATTTCAAGTAATTCTCGCACAGGGGAACGGGGCACATTT